TCACATCCAGATCTAAAAGATACATAACTGCATGGGTCTACAGCCTCTTATCACCATATTCTCTGGGTTTACCTTGAGCTAATACATTTCCAGTACCAGGCTTTTCCTTTCAATGTGACTACTGCATCAGTAATACTCACCAAACAAGGTGGCAGTTATAGGACCTTCATTCGAGAGAAATGGATCTCTGCTAGTTCATACCTTGATGACTGACTCAAAACCCTTCCCTGGTTTTCTGCTGTCCTACCTCCCACAAATTTAGTAACTGAGGTCTTTTACAACTAGTCCCTTGATCTTTGTGAAAGAATAATCACTCCTCCTAAAGATTCCCATTATAGTTGACTTTCAGTACTCAATTGGGCAAGGTCTTTGCTTCCTAAGAGAGGGTTTAATAAATTAAGAAGTTGGAATGGGATCTAACCCTAAGCGACACCTGCTGTGTTGGGCATCCTGGTTACTTTTGAACATATTCCATTCTCATCTTTTGCAGCATCACTTCTTGGTAAGAGGACACACTGAATAAAATCACTAAACAAAAATGTCAGTGATCTGAGCAGAATAGGTTTCTATGAAGATCGGTGAAATTATTATTTATGGAGAGTTGAGTTTTAAATGGTTAAAAAACTTCTCCCTCCTTCCCTATTTAGCACTGATTTCATGCAAGAATTCTAGTACTGATATTAACTTTAAAGTGTGTTCTTATCTCCAACATACTTCATCTCTCTGGAATGGTCCCATATCTCTCAAGAATCTGGAGACTACATTCTTTTTGTGTAAATCTGATTTCTAAAACACAAAATGCTGTGGTTTCAGCTTGTCTGAAATTTCCCTGGGTCTTTAAAGACACTGAATCTAGCTTTTTCTTCTGTTCATTAAGGCTTGTATGGTTCTTGGTAATGCAGAGTTAACAGTATGCAGAAAATCCAAAAAGCTTAAAATTTGTACTGCTGCAATTTCCTAACTAACCCTGTGACTATGTAAACTCTGTAATCTGGATTGGTGGGATACAGAAACAAAAAATTACACTATTCACAGTAGCTAGCATAATTGATTGGAGGAAATCAACCATGGGAATGAAGTTCAGCTCAAAGGTGTTCCCACTGTAGTATTCTTTCCCAGCCAGCCTGTTAAATTTTCAAACCATAAATTTGGATGGTTGTAAAACTCACTGCTGGAAAATTTCTAAACTGTGCATTTTTTATTATGACACAGTAAACAAAAAGTTAATTATATATTAAATATTTTAAAAACTTTCTTCCAAACTTAGAGACTTTTTTGGTACAACAACTTACAAAAAAAAAGGAAGAAAATAATATGGAATCCTAAAACCCTCTTTAAAACTTGGGATGGGTTTTCTCTGTAAAAAATACTATGCAGATAGAAGCACACTCTCCAAGGACTTCCCAATTAACTTCCAGGTAAACTGTGTTACACACTGAGTTATAAAGCCTTTCCCATCCTTTGTATTTCAGGAAAGTTACAGTTCAAAACATACAGTAGATTTACTTTGTAACAAATAAGCAATTGTCAAATAGTTTCACTAATATATGCTTTTCATATAGGACATATAAACGTCTTAGAAATTAGTCTCCCTCCCATGGAAAAATGTCACACCATGAAGATAGAAGTCTTTTTTGTACATAAATTCCCAAGTGGTCCAGAGAGATCTCGGCACACTACCTCAGTGTGCAACTGCATATTTGCAAGCACTTTCATATGTGTGTATTCATATGATAGGTTTTATCCTAATTGTGTATTTGAATAGATGTGCACATTTAGATTTTGTAATTCTGTTCATTTTATTGAGTGTAGAAGTCTAATAGAGTGTATAAACACTGCTTGCTTTCCACAAAACAAGGATTTGGTTCCCTATTAAGATCTTTTACAGATAAAAGTAGTCATGAAGGACTGGATACTGACTCTGAGAGAGAACACCCGGGTTTCCCAACATTTCATATAGAGTTTCTCTTAGTAGTCAGGAAGTCTCATGACTCTTCTTTCCAGATCAAAGTGACTTCTTCCTGCATACAGTTTCCTGTCCAGACAAAATCCATTCCACACTTTCTTCCACATACAAGTTCAAAATAAATTCACACTGCTGTTGATATTGTCACTCCCGCATGCTCCACAAATGTGTACAGATCCTCCCCATGCTAATACTCAAATGCAATCAACCTATTGCATTCAGTCATTCAGGTTTCTTTGTGCCTACTTCTTTACTCACTATTCCCCCACCCCTCTAGGTTCCTGCCTTCCTTTTTCTTGGCATCTTGGTCTGGCCTCCTTTCTCTTCTCTGTTTTTCTCCCCCCTCATTTCCCCCTCCCTCCTCACCACAGAAGTTGAAAACACACTTTGCCAAATTCCTTCTTAACCTGACTTTTCAGGTGGTGGTCTGAATGGCTCCTTTCTATGTTAGCCTTTGTGGTAGATATCCCCTTGGCAATCTTCCTTTGCCATGTGTTAGCTTTTGGAGTGAGATTTTGAACACTAGCTCCTTGAGTTAGAATTTATCTCTGATGGTAGCTCCTCTGTGACCTTGTAGCAGCAGCTTTCTTCTGGGCTGGGTGTTGGTAGAGTTGGGATCTCCTTTTATGGAGTAACAGACTCTAGTGGTATCCGTGGTTCCATGCTTTTAAGTGTTCTGGCATCAGCTGCACATAGGGGATGATGCCTCTATTATCCTGAGGCTGTGCAGATCTTCACATGCTACTGGGGAACGTTTTGTAGAAAATCCAGTCCAGGAACGTCTGAAATATATAAAACTCTTACATTCTTGGTTCTCTATCTTGCTCCTCATCAAGAAGGAGGAATCCACACTGGAGGTGTGAGAAGGCAGAGTTGCACACTTAGGGTTCCCAGAACTGGACTGTATCCTTAAGTGGTAACCGAGTCAGTTTACTGAAGACAGAACTTTGCTTACAAACTTTTTTTTTACCACTGCTAAAACACTGAATGCACTTCCAACTTCTTTCCATTGTTTTAAAATCCTTTTTTCATACACTGACACCAACCATCCAGAGGTCCTTTGCTAAAAGTTCCACTATATTTATCATTGGAGGACAGTGGTGTGTTTATACGCATACTACCAAACTTAGTCTGTCTCATTCACACATTTCTCTTGTAGCTACATTCTTATCTTCCTAAATTATTCTAATACCCCAAATCTGTTTTGGGGTCTCACTGAGGTGGCTCAAAATGGTAAAGTTACTCCTTTAATTTTTATTTTGAACTACTTGTATTTGTTTCCCTTCTTGCAGGCTTCATTTTCTTGCTTGTGTCATTAAATGGACAAGAAACCCTCAGTCTTCTAGTCATTGCTGCTTCTCTTATTGCTTTAGAGTTGCACTGCACTCAGCTTTAGCCACGGTAATCAGTCAATGTTGGACTGCTACCCAGAGTAGCTCTGTAGATGAAAAATGTCAGAATAGTGTTAGCTTCAAGAGCAGTTTTGTCAGTAAAAAAAGGAGAGAGCCTGTTTCCTCATCATTGCTGAAATCTAGTACGACTTTGCTTAAGGTCAGGAAAATGCACCTTCTATCCACTACTACTCTCCCTTCTCCTCCAAAATGATACCAGATGTGGCAGTAGTCTCTACCCCTGCCATATATTTCCTTTTGAACCTGGAGTGGGGATTCCCGGAAGAAAGAAAAAAAATATAGACCTGTGGAGACCTAAAAGCTAGACTCAAGTCTACAATGCAATAAGTTAACCAATCAGTTGCTTAAGTTAATACTGATTCCAATTCATTATTTCACATTTGACTGAAGAATTTTCAAAGACATGGCAAACCCAAACTTTTTTCTTCCTCGTGGATTTCAG